TATAAATAAACTAAAGGCTGTAATTGGTATGTTTGCATTTAAAATGATTCATTGCAACAAGAATATTTGTATTGAATGGAAACTGTGTGGGTCAAAATCTTGTATTGCTGATAAATGTTGTTGAACCAAGTTTCGGCATCTGATCTGAATTTTCTGAAAAGTGCAAGGTAGATAGACATTGGCCTGTTAAATAATTTAACTCGGTAAGTTTTGCTCTAACCATGCTAACTGCTTGAACTTTTGCGATATAAACTAAAAACTCGAATACATTTTAACTAACAGTGGTCATGTTTGTTGATGAATATTGTTTTTCCTAGATTCACTCAGGAAAGTTCATTTGGTAACATTTGGTCAAGCAATTTCAGAGAAGATTTACGGACGCCAAGTCAATAGCTCACACGGCCCCTTGATACAGGTGAGCTTAGAGCGTAACGGGTTGATAACCAGTTGAAATTAAACCAAGTATTGTAAAGTTTGTATATTTGGATTGTTTAAAACTGTTTTTGTGGCTTTTAAAAGTTAAATGTAGGTGTATAATTTAAGATTTTTTGCATCTTATATACTTGTTTATACATAATTGGTAGTATGAAGCTACGAGATATTGTAATTTTTGATCATTTAACAAAACAGCCGATTTCAGTAGGTGCAAATACTTCTGGGTTTTTAAGATGCATAAGCATAAATTCAACTGAAAAAAAAACATGCACGAAAAGATAAAATATTGATCTTAAAAAGCATTAATTAGTGGCCTTAGGTTTTTAAAGATATCAAAAAAAGTAAACGGTCATGATACATATTCAAATTCATTTCTGAATAGTATAAGGAAAGTACTTCAGTTAACTGTTTATGTAGAATTTTTGGCAGAATTAGAAAGTGGTGAAAATTCTAAAAAGGCTATCATTATCCCTTATGGGCCAGGAAATACTACCGTGTCCCCTAGACGGTATCATGTTGTTTTTCATCCGTATCAATTGGAGGCTTTAGTACATAACACAAATTGTCCTGTGATAAAGCGCGGTCAGATCGGATCAGGTTATTCTATGCAACAAACTCAAGACGGATACGGATACGACAAAATTCCGCAAAAAAAAAACATCACGAATTTTGAATAAAAAAAGATTTTGACTCGGGTGCTTTTTTATGGGTCGGTCGGGTTAAGGCAAACCAACCTATTCTTTTTTATGGCCCTATATCTACAGTAATAAATTCAGATTGAGAAAATGGAAATCTTCTTGATCTATGTGAATTGACAAAGTATGAACATTCTGTTGGGTATTTTAATTTGAGATGATTAAGCATGTTACTCTACTTCTCATATATATGTTAATTCCATTCACATAATTTGCATTTCCCGGTTTTTGAGTCGGAATTTCGTCTTGATTATGAGAAAACCTTTCACGATGGAAGTGGCATATTTACGCAATATTAAATCAAAAATGAAATAATGAAGTAAACAGTAAAATTTAATCAGCTTATAATTGTTCAAAATACATGCATGTTCATAAGTGTTTCTCGTTTCTGGTTTTTTATATAGATTAGACCGTTGGTTTTCCCGTTTGAATGGTTTTACACTAGTAATTTTTTGGGGCCCTTTATAGCTTACTGTTCGGTGTGAGCCAAGGCTCCGTGTTGAAGACCGTACTGTGACCTATAATGGTTTACTTTTATAAATTTTGAATTGGATGGAGAGTCATACCACATCTTCTTATATCTATATGATAATTATGTTTACTTTAGATCTTGCCGCAAGCTGATAGACAAGTTGTATTTGTGCTAATTAATTTTTTAAAATTGGAAGGTTTCCAAGGTAATTGAAAAGCAATCAATATACTGGACAATGATCTGTCAAATTAAGTAGCAAGATGATTATTTAAAAATTTGAATATAATGACTGCAATACACAGTTTATATATCTAATCTATTAAAATTGAAAAAGGTCTCGTTAACCGGTTATTATTTTTGGTATTCAAATCCAATATGGCTGGATCACAACATCGACAATGCTTTGATTAATATTTTTAATAATTGATTATAAATATTAGATTAAGAAAATTAACTTTTCAAGAAAATAGCTGAGTTTTTTTTTGTATTATAAGGATACTGGTATGTCACAGTATAACAAGGTTGAGTGGTAAATACCCCAGTTTATTAAATGAACTACAATGTACATGTAATTGTTAAAATTATAAAAGGGGAGATAATCAAGAGCTAGCTGGTTCATTCTAGTAGGTTGCATTACACCAGTGCTTTTAATTCCTTTTTAACATGATAAACATATTTCATTGAGCAACTGTTCAACAAAAATAGCATGACCTATTTACAAAATTAATTGCTTGTTAGAGTAAAAAACTAATAAACATTGCAATCATTACAATATAAATTGCATATAAAAATAGAGTTGTTAACTAAAAAATGAGCTGTATGAATGAAAGATTGGAGACAGGGTTCTCAATAAGGCAGTCAATGAGTCATGAAGTCATGAAAACTATCTAGACTCATTTTCAAAACTGACAAGCCTAAAGATGCTCAAGGATTGTAAAATTTTGTAGATCAACTAAGCGAACATACATGTATCACCATTTTATAGCAAATTTGAATGTCTAAAAATTATCTAAATTTGATGTCATTTCCGTGCTCTTTTTTATCATGAAGACTAAAACGATAATTATGTAGCAATAAAATTTCTTCTCGCAGTTGGAACTCGCCATGGTCATTAATGACGATTCCCTGGACTCCCCTTCAAAAGTCCTTTGTCAGAACCCTAGGTCTGTGTCAAACAGACAGCAACCAATCAATGATAGAGGTCAAAATGGTATTCAACAATAGATTCCCTGGACTCCCCTTTAAAAGTCCTTTGTCAGAACCCTAGGTCTGTGTCAAACAGACAGCAATCAATCAATGATAGAGGTCAAAATGGTATTCAACAATAGATTCCCTGGACTCCCCTTTAAAAGTCCTTTGTCAGAACCCTAGGTCTGTGTCAAACAGACAGCAATCAATCAATGATAGAGGTCAAAATGGTATTCAACAATAGATTCCCTGGACTCCCCTTTAAAAGTCCTTTGTCAGAACCCTAGGTCTGTGTCAAACAGACAGCAATCAATCAATGATAGAGGTCAAAATGGTATTCAACAATAGATTCCCTGAACTCCCCTTCAAAATTCCTTAGTCAGAACCCTAGGAGGTCTATGTAAAACAGACAGCAACCAATCAATGAGACAGGTCAAAATGGTATTCAACAATAGATTCCCTGGACTTCCCTTCAAAAGTCCTTAGTCAAAACCCTAGGAGGTCTATGTCAATCAGACTGCAACCAATCAATGAGACAGGTCAAAATGGTATTCAACAATAGATTCCCTGGACTCTCCTTCAAAAGTCCTTTGTCAGAACCCTAGGTCTGTAAAACAGACAGCAACCAATCAATGAGACAGGTCAAAATGGTATTCAACAATAGATTCCCTGGACTCTCCTTCAAAAGTCCTTTGTCAGAACCCTAGGTCTGTAAAACAGACAGCAACCAATCAATGAGACAGGTCAAAATGGTATTCAACAATAACAGTCAGGGGTACTACTTGTACAAGTAATTTTTATTTACTTGAAGAAGTAAATATTAATATACTTATATAAGTAAATTTGTAGGATACTTATACAAGTGTATTTTATTTACTTGTATAGGTAAAAAAAAATTTGGCTTAGTTATGTCCCTTAGACATTCAGATTTTTTTACTTATACAAGTAAAAAAGTCATCCTATCTTCTTTTCTTGAATTCTCAACACTTCTTTGCTCTAATAGAATTTTTGATTGTCTGTCCTTTGCAGATGTCTTTACTAATTATTTAAGCGTAATTTCATGGACAATGAAAATCTCATTTGTCTGTTATCTTCAGAACACTGCTCATTTACAAGCCCCCAAGGGGCAATTTTTGAAGGCCTTGCGCAAATACTTTAGATCTTTATGCAATCAGTTTCTTTGTTGAATTAATGAGATGAAACATTGAACTCTTAACAAAAAATTATGAGCTAACCTGAGAAAAATTGTTAAAGGGATGTTTTACATCTCAAAACTTGAGAATTTTTGTGGGATTGTAAAAAAAATGTACTTATACAAGTAAATTTTTGAGAAAATTAAGGGGAGATTATTCAAACATTATAATTAACTTATATAAGTTTATTTTATTTACTTCTTCAAGTAAATAAAGATTACTTGTACAAGTAGTACCCCTGACTGAATAAATTCCCTTGACTCCCCTCCAAAAATCCTTAGTCAGAACCCTAGGAGGTCTATGTAAAACAGACAGCAACCAATCAATGAGACAGGTGAAAATGGTATTCAACAATAGATTCCCTTGACTCCCCTTCAAAAATCCTTAGAACTCTAGGAGGTCTATGTCAAACAGGCAGCAACCAATCAATGAGACAGGTCAAAATGGTATTCAACAATAAATTCCCTTGACTCCCCTCCAAAAATCCTTAGTCAGAACCCTAGGAGGCCTATGTAAAACAGACAGCAACCAATCAATGAGACAGGTCAAAATGGTATTCAACAATGGATTCCCTGAACTCCCCTTCAAAAGTCCTTAGTCAGAACCCTAGGAGGTCTATGTCAAACAGACAGCAACCAATCAATGATAAAGGTCAAAATGGTATTCAACAAAAAATCATTGTCTTGATAAAATTTTCGGGCCTCGGTGGCTGAGTGGTCTAAGTAGTCGACCTACTGTTTCACTAGCCTGTCAACACTGAGGTTGCGAGTTCAATTCCCACATGGGGCAGGAGCACTTGACTCCAATCTTAATTCACAAGGATTGTCAGTTTTTCTACCGAAGGTTGGTGGTTCTCTCCAGGCTCTCCGTCTTCCTCCACCAATAAAAACTGACTGCCACGAAATAGCACAATTGTGTTGAAAGTGGCGTTAAACACCAATCAGTCGATCAATCAATTATAAAGTGTTATTATTATTTCTATTTGAAAAAGAAACATTTATCTGTTTATATTTCCAGATTGAACATCTGTTATTTGTATTTCATCCTTGTCCAGTCAATTAGATAATTGTCCAGTCAATGTAAACCTTGTCCAGTCAATGTGAACATTGTCCAGTCTAGTTGCTATTATAGGTAAGTGTACATTATATGTGAACTATATGTAGGACCATTTACTACTGAAATTTGTTTGAAATGTAAGAGTGTCTCAACTCTAAAAGGGAAGATAATCAACATATAGTTTTTCATTCAAAATACTGCAACATTAAACAAGACACAAAAAAGCCCAAAGAATAATTACAAAATTATATTCCTACAAATATAGATTGGTTGAACTTCAGCATTGAACTTGTGCTAAATGAAAAAAAATGTGAAAAATGATCTGCAAATAAGTTTACATGGTCGAAATCGTCAGACGACTCCTTATTGGAGTTAATGCCCCCTAATGAATATTTTTGTCATTTTTGCATTTTTGCCTTATATCTGAAAAAACTATAATAGATACAGGGCTCACACTACTTCAGAATCATAGGGAAAAGTGACTTCTCTTTTTGAAACTGATAGGGAGAAGTGGTGAGATTTGAAAGAGAAGTTCTCCTTCGTGCGTGGCGCTACAATGTTTGGTTTTTACTATAGTATAAGGGGTTATATGTAACTTATATCTGAGTATACAATTAAAGAAACAGTTCAATTTCAAAGATATTTAGGTTCTTGTGAGAAACTACCAACTAAATATCTAGCACTAAAAAGAATTTTTTTTTATGTCAGAAAGGAAAAGAAAGTATAATATATCAATTACAATTCAATTAAAAAACTATTCTGTTTATCATATGCATATTTATGAAATTCAGTGCTCATCAAAAAGATATATAAATTTAACAAAGTTAAGCTGGATCATAATATATTGATATTAGTAAATTAGTCCTGGAGTTAAGCTACTTTAATCAATAAATTGAAACAACCCAGATACATGGAATTATATACATTAATCAAGTAGTTCAAAAGTCTGTTAATGCGTGTGGAATGTGTAATTTTTATACGACCGCATAATTTTTTTTGCGTCATAATGCTATGATGTCGTCGTCGTCGTCTGCATCGGCGTCAGCGTTGTCTGAAGACACATTTGGTTTCCAGACAATAACTTTAGTTTAAGTGAATGGATCTCTATGAAATTTTACAAGAAGGTTCAACACCACAAAACAAAGGTTGGGATTGATTTTGGGGGTTATGGTACCAACAGTTTAGGAATTAGGGGCCAAAAAGGGGCCAAAAACAAGCATTTTTGTAGTTTCCGGACAATAACTTGTGTATAAGTGTATGGATCTCTCTGACAAAGTACCACAAGGTTCCATATCACAAAGGGAAGGCTGGGATGGAGTTTGGGGGTAATTGCCGTAAACATGCAGGAATGGGGCAGAAAAGGGGCCAAAAACAAACATTTCTCTAGTTTCCAAACAATAACTTGTGTTCAAGTGTATGGATCTGTCTAAAATTGTACTACAAGGTTCCATACTACAAAGGGAAGGCTGCGATTGAGTTTGGGGGTAATTGCTCCAAGGGGGGGGGGGATTTTTTTTCCAATTCTTTTAAGGAGTTCATATTTTTTTTTCAAAATTTTTCAAATTTCAAATTTTTGAAAAGTTTCAAGAAGAAATCTTCATTTCACAGTATTGCGCAATAGTTTTTTTAAGATCTTTGACCACATTTATTTTTTGTCAAAAACCTATGTTATGTCAAAAATTGGATCAAAATCCAAATTCAGACAGTATCAAGCTTGAATATTGTGTCCAAAAATGCCCCAAACTGTTCAGGGTTCGACCTCTGCGGTCGTATTAGGCTGCGCTCAGCAAAGCATTTTTGTCGAGCCTGCAACTTTTGTCGCAGAAAGCTCGACATAGGGATAGTGATCCGGCTGCTACGGTGGCAGCGGCGTTAGCTAACTTCTTAAAAGCTTTATATTTTAGAAGCTAGAAGACCAGGATGCTTCATACTTTGTATATAGATGCCTTATGTTACAAAGTTTCCGTCTGTCATATGTCCAATGTCCTTGACCTCATTTTCATGGTTCAGTGACTACTTGAAAAAAAAGTCAACATTTTTAGCTCACCTGGCCCAAGGGCCAAGTGAGCTTTTCTCATCACTTGGCTCCGTCGTCGTCGTCCGTCGTCATTAACTTTTACAAAAATCTTCTCCTCTGAAACTACTGGTCCAAATTTGACCAAACTTGGCCACAATCATCATTGGGGTATCTAGTTTTAAAAATGTGTCCAGTGACCCAGCCAACCAACCAAGATGGCCGCCATGGCTAAAAATAGAACATAGGGGTAAAATGTAGATTTTGGCTTATATCTTTGAAACCAAAGCATTTAGAGCAAATCTGACAAGGGGTAAAATTGTTTATCAGGTTAAGATCTATCTGTCCTGAAATTTTCAGATGAATCGGACAACCCGTTGTTGGGTTGCTGCACCTGAATTGGTAATTTTACGGAAATTTTGCCGTTTTTGGTTATTATCTTGAATATTATTATAGATAGAGATAAACTGAAAACAGGGGACCAATTTATCAAACTTGGGCTGAATTATCCTTAAGGTATCTAGTATAAAGTTTGTGTTTTTTTGTCTATCAAAAAACATGACCGCCATGACAAAGAAAATAAAACATAGGGCAAAAAAAAAAGTTTATGGCTTATATCTGAAAAAAAAGCAGTTAAAGCAAAACTGACCTAAATAAAAATGATAAGCATGTAAAGATTTATCTGCCACAAAAATTTCAAACCAATGGGACAACCCTATTTGGAGTTATTGCCCCTGAAATAATAATTGTTATTAAAGTTTCTGTTTTTCGATTTTATCTAGAAAACTATTAAAGATAAAGAGAAATTTCAACAGCAAAAATGTTCAGCAAGTTTAAAAAAATCTACAAATAAGTCAAACTGAACAAATTTGTAAATTAATCCCTTATTGGAGTTATTGAAACTATGATAGAGAGAAACCTTTAGTGGCAAAAATGTTCCACAAAGTAAGATCTACCAAAATTATAGGAGCTAGGTTAAAAGTGTAAACTGTAAAAATTATCAGCACGACAAGATGTATCCACCCTGAAAATTTGGTAAAAACTAACCACTTGTTTTTGCCTCTAAACTATCTATTTTAGAATTTACAGTTGGTGGCTGCTATCATAAAAACTATAGGAGTAAGGTTAAAAGTGTAAATTGCAAAAAGGGGCAACACAACAAAATGTATCTAACCTAAAAATTGGAGAAAAATCTGTCACCCTGTTTTAGAGTTATTGCTCCTGAAAAATCATTTTTATACGACCGCAAAAAATTTGCGTTCCTATATTGCTATCACGTTGTCGTCGTCCGAAGACATTTGGTTAAGTGTACGGATCTCTATGAAATTTAAACAAAAGGTTCAATACCACAAAAGGAAGGTTGGGATTGTTTTTGGGGGTGATGGTCCCAACCAGTTTAGGAATTAGGGGCCAAAAAGGGGCCCAAAACAAGCATTTTTCTAGTTTCAGGACAATAACTTGTGTATAAGTATTTTGATTGCTCTGAAATTGTACCATATGGGTCAATTCTACAAGTAGAAGGTTGGTATTCATTTTGGGGGTAATAGCCCACACCTTTCAGGAATTAGGGGCCAAAAAGGGACCAAAACAAGCATTTTTCTATGTTTTCAGACAATTACTTGTGTTTAAATGTATGGATGTCTCTTAAATTGTACCACATGTTACAAAAAGAAAATTTCTTCAAATATTATTTTTTTTGGAGGGGGGTAAACAAAAAATATTTTTTGGGGGGTCAATTTTTTTTCCTCAAGATTTAATAAATTATCAATTTTCCATTATTTTTTTGGAAGGTGGGTAAACAAAAATTTTTTTTGGGGGTGGGGTCAATTTTTTTCCCTCAAGATTTAAGAAAGTCAATTTTCCAAAAAAAAATTGGGGGTCACAATTTATTTTGCTAATTCTTTGTATATAGTCTGAAAACAGATTTACTAAGTATTGCGCAACATCACAGTGTATTGCACAACAGCAAGAAATCTTCAATTGAATATAAATTCAAATCATATAACCAATTTCAAGTTCTTTGACTACATTTATTCTGTGTCAGAAACCTATAATGTGTCAAATATTTAATTACAATCCAAATTCAGACCTGTATCAAGCTTGAATATTGTGTCCATTTTTGCCCCAACTGTTCAGGGTTGGACCTCAGCGGTCGTATCCAGCTGCACTTGCCAAGCACATTTATTAAAAGTGTTATCCTGTTATTGATAAACGTGTAGGCCCTAGGTTAAAAGTGTAAATCACAAAAATGGTCAGCTTGACAAGATTTTATAACTCTGGAAATGTTGAAAAAAATATGTAAACCTGTGTTTTTGAGTTATTGCCCCTGAAAAATACATTTTTATACGCCCGTCAAAATTTTGACGGGACGAATTATGGTATACAAATGTCGTCTGTCCGGTGTAAACATGTTGACCGTAACTTGAGAACAAGAAATTTCATGAAACTTAACATAGTTGTTTCTTATGATGGTCAAACGATCTGTATACTTTTTGGTGAAAATAAGATTAAAACGTTTTGAGTTTTGGGACTTAGTAACTAAAACAGGTGTGTGTTTTTTTTTCACATGTCGCGCTGTATCTCAAAAACAATTTATGATTATTGCTTAAAACTTACACACTTCTTAGTTATATTAATCTTAAGATCTGTATACTTTTTGGTGATGATTCAAAATTTTATTTTAGAGATAATATTGAGTATTTTGTTAAAAAAGGGGGAGGGGTTTTTCACATGTCGCGCCGTATCTCAAAAACAATTTATGATTATTGCTGAAAACTTTACACACTTCTTAGTTATATTAATCTGAAGAATTGTATACTTTTTGGTGACGATTCAAAATTTTATTTTAGAGATATTGAGTATTTTGTTAAAAAAGGGGGATGGTTTTTTCACATGTCGCGCCGTATCTCAAAAACAGTTTATGATTATTGCTTAAAACTTTACACACTTCTTAAGGATATTAATCTTAAGATCTGTATACTTTTTGGTGATGATTCAAAATTTTATTTTTGAGTTATTGAGTATTTCGTAAAAAAAAGGGGGAGGGGTTTTTCACATGTCG